ATCTTCACCTTCCAAACAATGCCAACATTGTCATTGTTTGTCACACTCATGTACCAAGGAATTCACCTATACAGCCCGAGGCCTATGCTCGTGTTTCAAGCAAAACTAACAAACCACAAAAAAAACCACTAAAAAAGAATATAAATTACAGAAATTTAGATAAATAATATATCAAATTTCATAATTAAGAAATTCATATCGGTCATTTTACGTTTTAACATTTTGTTACTAATAGAATGTGCTGGTATTAATATGCTGATTCAATGGCTATTAGCTGGCAAAATCAAAATTGAAATACTGAAAATGTCAATTTCACAATACTTAGAATATGAAATGTCGTGAAGTTCTAAAGTCGAAAACAAAAATGTCACAAAAAATTGACCAATTTGTCACTTGGGTTTCTTTTTTTACCAATATGGCTCAAGAATTTTTTTATCAATTTGAAAAAATACCCTGTTTTTTATTACAAATTTGGTAATTTGGCTCTAAAAATGTGACAACTAATATTTAAAAAAAAATATATTCGAAGTAACTTATATAATACGGTGACAAAAATATACTACGTATAATATATTATTACGTATTTATGGTGTCAAAGATACTCTTGTATATGATGTACTTCGTATTATATTACTAGTATAAGGCTCATAATAGATACGTCTATATTCGTATTTATACAATTGCTTTCCAAGTTCTTAACCGCAGCTATAGTAGTCCTGTGGTCACCGTGTTATTAAGGTATTTTTTTGCCTCTAACGTCCCAGGTTCGAACTCATGGTTTTTTGGTCGACGTGTAAAAACTTGATTTTTTTAATTTTTTTCACAACTTTCTCCATCAGTAATGACAAATGACATGGATAGTGATGACTGAGATTTAATGACATGGATTTCCGGCGGACAAGTGGCATACTTTGGCCGGAAAATTGAATGGTACCGCCGGATGCAACATTTAGACGTAGTTCAGGTACTAATTTGCTTCATTAAAGAGTTAAGGTAATAAAATGCATCATTACTCAATGTCTCTTCCAAAAAAAAATCTACAAATGTCATAACTTAACATGAAAACGCCAAGTTCGCATGTCTTGGAATGCCACGATTTCGAGACGGCGGCATTGGTCGTGTAGGAACTGGGAGGGCGACATTTTTATTTTTATTTTAAATAAAATACTGCCTATAAGTTTCTTATTCAAATAAGATAAGAACAAATGAAAAAATCTAATCATGCACGCAGGCATGTATACAGTATGTGTATAGGCCTGCCAGAGGATCGAATACGGACCAACTATAAATTTCATATCCATATTCGTTGAGTAATTTTTGGTCTAGATCCAGACCCATTTACCCTTCGTAACCTGAACATATGTTCGAGATTTGGATTCGCCGGGTCTCGGATCTGGGTCGGGTATACCCGGAAAAAAACTAAGGCTCTGTTTGTAATCACTTGTGTTTAAATAAAAGCACTTTTTGGAAAAAGTGATTAGTAGTAAAAGTTGATAGTGTTTGGTAAAATAAGTGTTTTTTGTGTAATAGAAAAAGTAAAAAGTAGATTCTACACGAAAACCGAGAAAGTAAAAGTTGATAATGTTTGATAAAATAAGTGTTTTTTGTTAAAAAAAAAAAGCCACAATCACTTATTTTAAATGATTGCAAACAGATCCTAATTGACATATACAAACAAATATAGTACAAAACAATTTTTTGTTCACATTGGAAGAGATCATATGTAAATATGCAAAATGTTGTTCTTTCCATTAATCTATATATCCTCAAACTCAATAGAAGCAAAATTCTTAAACAAAAAAGGGCTTCATATCAAGAGGACCTAGAGCAATAACTCATTAGGGAAAATCCATGATAGTGGGCCAACTGCTAACTGAGCCTACAATTATTAAGACATTTTTATATTTGATTATTTTCTTTGTTTATGTTTAAATATTCTTATGTATATTATGTGTATCAATAAAATTATAACTATAATTATCCGCCACATGCCGGAACTTAAACATTCATATCCGACCTATTTTTCTCTCTCAAGTAACAGGCTCAGATTCGGATTCAAAAAACAGTTCTAAATTTAAACTCATACCCTCAAATAATGTATACCTATTATTATACATATCATAATATGTATAATAGACAAAAAAAAAAATATGTTCACTGATAAAAGACCGAGCATTTATACACACTGGTCACTGGTGTGTAAAAAAGGAAAAATTCAAATAGAATTGGGATTGATGCTCAAAACGCGATAAAATATGCTCTTAGAATGTGTGACAAAAATTCCTTTTGTACACCTTTTTATACACATCAGTACACCCCATTGTCTATGAGAGTTTTTTTTTGTCTGTGAATGCCAATTCACAGACAAAACCTGACTTGTTTTGTCTGTAGAATTTTCCACAGACAAAACAAGCCAGGTTTTGTCTGTGAACTGGCATTCACAGACAAAAAAAACTCTCACAGACAATGAGGTGTACTGATGTGTATAAAAAGGTGTACACCAAGAATTTCCCAATGTGTGAAACCCATGTTGAGACTTACAATAGTACTAAATATTGAGAGTGCAATACTATATATGTAATGGCATGTTAATATGTTCATGTTTAAAATTCCCTCCATCTCAAAGAAAGGTTCTCACTTCCCTTTTTGAATGTCCTATATAAAGATTCTTATTTCCATTTTAGGATATAATTAACAATATTAAATGACAAATTAATCATTAAATATTAATTTAAAATAATACTCCATACATTATATCATCATAGTTATCAACACTATCCAAATTGTATTATATATATACATATTAAAATTATTTCTCAAAATATATTCTAACTATCTTATTTAATAATTGTCTAAATAACTCTGTCATTTTGTCATGAGAACCTTTCAACGAGATGGAAGTAGTAGTATATGAACTAGAGAAATAAAAATTGAAGAACTTAAAGATAAAGATCAAGGTATTTTGGATATTTGAGCAAACAAAATGACTGCCAATGGCTAAGGAAATAAAATGAAAAGGAAGAAGAAGAATGCTACGGAGTAAAAGTTTAGAACCCGAAGGGCTGGTTTGAGTACCCAAAATCCACGTCCGACCCATTTTCTTCCCAGGGTGCTAGGATCCCCCCGTTTAGTTCCAGATCCGCAGGTTTTTTATTCCGGAACCCTTTCCACCCCTATTTATAGACTACATATTCCTGTAGCTAGGGGCAGAGCTAGAGGGGGGAAACATAGGCCCTGTCCCACTCCAAATTTAAAAAATGTCTTAACTTAAAATAACTGTATAAAAAATTTCCAAAAGTATTTTGTGTACCGCCTAATCCGGTTCAGTGCCCTGGCTCCGCCCCTATCTGTATCCTCTCAATGCATGAAGAGTTGGCATGATATTCCATTATATCTTGATAAATAATCCCTTCCCATTAGGCATGGATGGGTTCCCACAAAATAAAATTTAAAATCATTCCAAACAAACAGGATTAATACTACTTGACAATTGCTAGTACATATCTGAACTTGTCAAGTTGCTAAACAAAACTTCCGACCCTCTGCTCCAGAAAGTCATGGATGCATCATGAAAGAACAGCTTCCCACCAAAGAGATAGTCTCAAAACCCAACAGTTGACGGTCAGAAATGTAGTATCATTTGCCAATAGTTTGGTCTTTCATGGTAGATGTACCTTGCTGAAATGTCAAAAAGTTAACTAACCGACGAAAACTAGTGTTAAACTTGTGAAGTAGCTGTTTTCATCATGTTGTTAAAGAAAACCTCTAACTGTGTGCTACTAGTCATGGAATAATCACGGCAAGGAGAGCATGCATCAATTAATGTCGGGCCCCCACGCTTGCGTAGCTCATTAACATGCACACCCAGTCTTTTCCCTACCAATCTTTTCAGAGACTCTATGGATGTGCAGCTCGACAGCTCAAGGTCAGATATATGAATTTTCGATAGTTTTATCTTCATGACAGATATAGCCTGCGAATATGACAAAAGTATATTTGAGTCCTTCTGAATTCCATAGCTCGCTAAATCCTTAAAATCATCAAGAAGTTTTCCCTCAAACACAAGCCTCTGGACATGAACCGGTACCCCAAACTTGGAAGAAATCATTTTCTTGAGATATATAACCAAGTCCACTAGGAGGATGTCGAAGGATGTACTTTTGCCAGACCACTTGATGAATACCTGAATTGGTGAGGCTATCTCTGAGATGGTATCATCTGTTGTGATGTTGTAATATGACACAGTCTTCGAGTCATCCAGATTCTTTCCATCGTAAGATAGAGCCCTCACTGGGTATCCAACATTGCTCTCAAGCAAAGTTTTCACATCAAGTATGGTGTGCAAAGTCCTCACTTGTATTTTCACAGTTTCTCCACGTAACATTTTCACGGAAACCTGCAAAACATCCTTTGGTATGAAAACCACATGAAGCGTTGATTCCCCTTGAATATCAAGAAAAGCGAATGTCTTGTTGTCATCTTCTAGCAGCTTTCCTGCGTAAACAAGGTTGTATTGATCTGACCCTATGCTTTCTTTGGCCTCAATAAAGGCCTTGACATTCTGGATTGTGTCTTGACTTCTCACTTGAACCATTATTGTTTTCTTTCTGGATGGTATTTTGATACTCAACCTCAGTGGCACCGAATTGCTAACATAAGCATTGAGTGTGGAGTTACTTGGGATGCCATAATCAACAAGCCTTTTGTCACTCTCAAGATGATTGCTGCAAAAGAAGAGCTCTTGAAGGCTCTCTGGAATCCCTTCCTTTCCATATAATAAAGATTTTACTCTTCCAACAGTCTCGGTTTTTCTCACTTTAAAGTTCACTGTTTTAATGACCCTCAGGCATATATTTAACTGCTACAAATTCAATTATGTAGCAAAAGAGAAAAAAAAAATACAGAATTAGAAATAATAACACGAGTAGTATTAATCAATTATGTAGCAAATGAGAAAAAACCAATACAGACTTTGTCCAGGTTCTTTTCTCAATGTCATTATCTTCCTCACCTTAGTCCTGTGCTATCATATGTATAATGTGGCGCTTTGTTTTAAAAATCATAGTATTAAACAATTAAAGGAACATACGAATGAAGCTATGACAGATGAGTTGTGATGATTTGAAGAAAGTAATTCAGCTTCTAGCAGTAGGCAAAGAAGTGTCCACCAATGGCAAATATTATTTCCAACTGAAAGGCCTTTTGAAAGCGAAAGATTGTACCCAAACAAAACAAAAAACGAAAAGGTATACAATAGTACAAACATTAAACTATACCAAACTCAAGACAATTTATTGACTGAAATAACAAAAGCTATGAAAAGAGAGAAAGCTATGAAATAACAAAAAACAGTTAACATTAAGCTATAGCAAACTCAAGACAACTTATTGACTGAAATAACAAAAGCTATGACATAACAAAAAACAGAAAAAGTATGCAAACAATAAACTATGGCGAACTCATAACATATCTCAACAAGCTAACTTGGTGAGCAATACAACTTTGCCCATTCCACTTCCTCTACGAGCACCGGTATACACAATCCGTGCAGAGGGGTGATAGACTGATAGGGTAGAGTTTTGGTTAGAAATATAAATTTTGAAGCAAGAACCCTAAAAGACTTTACTTGGCTAATCTGGATTTATAAGTTAAAAGAGATTACAGAATATAACAGCTAGCACATTATATTTGTACAAAAAACACACTTTATCTGTTTGAGAAAGAGGTATGGTTCTTATTTTAGCACGCAGGAACATGAAATATATGATCATCAACAAAAAAAAAGGGAATTAATTAAAACAACATGCTATTACATATCTGGGTATGGAGTTGCTAACCTCTTCTTCTTCTTCATCGCACGGAGCGATCGGATTAGAGGTGGTTGACATGAGGCGATCGTGATGGATGTTCGGAGGAAAACCAAATCAGACTATGGCTGCGTAGATGTAGAACAAGCACCTACTCCGTGATGAACTGAATGGCCGGGCACTAGATTAGCAGCACATGCGTCTACATAATTTTGTACCACACACCTCACTATTCCTTGCAGGACAGTGTCCGAACAAAATTGAAAAGGGAATTTTGAAAATTTCCTAAGATAGTATTACCACGAGACTACTCCGTCTCATTTTATGTGTCTCACTTTGACTTGAGACAATTGTTAATAAAGTGGTTGAAAAAGTAAAAGTTGTGGTTGAAATTTGAGTATAACAAAGTGAAATTTTGTAAGCCACATATTTCTTTCCAAAAGAGGAAAGTAGACACTTAATTTGGACAACTCAAAAAGAAAAGTAGGACAGGTAAAATAGGACGGAGAGAGTATCATTTTATGTATTCTATTTTGATTTGACACAATTATTTATAAAGTGGTTTAAAAAGTAAAAGTTATGGTTGAGACTTGAGTATAATGAAATGAACTGCTCTAAACCACATATTTTTTCTAACAAAATTAAAAGACACTTATTTTGGGACAACTCAAAAAGAAAAGTAAGACAAGTAAATGCGACGCATAGAGCAAAATGTAGGATTAAAAATTACGGGATATCTTTAAACATTGTAGCACCTTGTTTTTTCCTTGGTAATAGGACTGAGATGGATTCGGGATTTCTCGTCCCATATCGAAGAACCGTTCTGATTCATCCTAGAATCGGAAGAACCAAAAAAATATAGTACTGAACCGTACCATACCGGTTTCCTTACATAATATGGTAAGATATCGATTCTTTATTGAGAATCATTTCACAACCGTATCGAATCGAACCGTCTCAATCCGTCCCGAAGAACATGTTATTTGATATAATATACTCTGTATATAACATATCATATTCTACAATATACAATATATAACATTATTAAGGTAAGTGTGGTTCTATATGCAGCCGCCAATTTTCTAATCAAAGCCACATAATTTTTTAAATATCTATTTTACCCTTTTAAATAATCGACCACTCTTGCGGAAAGATTAGGATACTCCCTTCTTCTGCAACCAACCTTTCCTCAAACGAGAACAATTGAACAAGCTGAATTGTCAACAACATAACGAAGGGGCGAGAATTTGAGAGGAAGAAGAAGAAGGAGAAACAAGCAGTTGTGATGGGATTTAGATCTGGTATTCCAGACCGGAAAGAAAAAAGGAAGAATTTGGTCAGAAGTCTGTACTCCCACACCAAAATTGCAAGCCTGCGACTGGAAGTAACCGGTGACGAGGTTCCTGTGGAGTTGCCGTTGTTGGAAAATATCCCATAGAATCAGAACAAGGTGGATGAAGTGGAAGAGTGCGTCATGATTTCTATGCGATCGAAGTATGCCGACTAGACTGAAGGGTAAATTTTATAGGACAACAATTAGGCCTGCATTACTGTATGGCACAGAGTGTTGGGCGGTGAAACAATGTTACATTCAAAAGATGAGTGTGGCAGAGATGTGCATGCTGCGTTGGATGTGTGGGCATACTAGAAAGGACCGCGTGAGGAATGAGACAATCAGAAAAAGGGTGGGAGAAGCACCTATTAAAGATATATAAGATGCGGGAGTCGCGCCTACGGTGGTTTGGTCATGTGCATAGAAGAACGAGTGATGCACCTGTCAGACGAGTTGAGATGTGTGGAGAAGAGGCAGGGAAGAGAGGGAGATGCAGGCCCAAACAGACGTGGGTTAGGGGAGTCAGAAGTGATATGCTTCTTCTTGGATTGGATGAGGGTATGGCTTTGGAGAGAGCAAAATGGAGGGCGGGTATTCGTGTGGATGAGTGATCTTGTATCATTATATATAAATATTACTTTATCCTTTTTATTTTATCTTTTATATGTATATTCATCTCTTTTATATTATCTTTTTTATAATAACTTATCTTTTTTATCTTTATTTTCTTTCTTTTCCTTTTGGTGATATCATGTATCGATTCATGTTAGCCGACCCCAATATCATTTGGGACTAAGGCTTTGATGTTGTTGTTGTTGTCGTTGGACCATTTATATTATTTAATATATATTGGGGACATTTATTTCTTACCATTAAGTTTGTCATTTGACAAATTTGGTCTCTGTATTTATGTATAGTTAGCATATGATGACTGTGTTTTAACATTAAATAATACATAAGGGACCAAAAGGGTTTTTCTTTGATACAACATAAAAGCACACACACTCGTTCCAATTCTTACGGCAAAAGGGAAGAGACATGTTTCTTCCTAAGGGTCTCAAGAACACCATTATAAAGAGACCCAAGGGAGACTTCACAATCCATCGAATTTGTAGTTTGTATCCTTAGAGAATCAAAACGTCACGGCTTCATCATCTTCTATGGCACCGTCAACGTTCGGTTTCTCCTCAACCGGTTAGTGTTCTTATTGATTGATTCTATGATTTTATCATGCTTAGTGATATCATGTTTAGTGAGATTAGATCCTAATTGGGACTGAATTTCTCACAGTCGTGAGTTCCGCTGCAGAGGTTCTTGTGGAGTTGCCGACGCCGTAACCACTATCTCCGGCAGCCGTGACCAAGCAGCACCGACAGTTGTAACCAAAGCTCACATAGTTTGGTGAATCGCTTTTCACATATCTGCTTATGCTAAAACTTCACACGGTCGTAATTATATGCCTTTTAAACACGGAATTCTTCCATCAGTTGATTGTTGACCATTTAGCTTCTTCAATTGTGTGGATCGGAGTGCCTGTAAAAAGTAATAGGGGGGTTTGGATCTGATTCTTAAATCTGTTTCTGCTCCTTCAAGGAGCAGAAGCAGAAGTTGAAGTGTTTGGGTGAAAGTGCAAAAGTAATTCTGATGTCTAACTTACTCCTACAATCAATTTTTTTAGAAGCTGGTGGAACCATCTTCTGAACTGATTCTAATTCTGCTTCTAGTTCAAAAAAGAAGCAGAATCAGAATCAGTTCCAAACACTCCCATAGACATTTCTTATTCAATTGTTTGTAGTGGTTGTGTTATATGGAGTATTATTAAGGGTAAACTAGACATTTACTTATCATAGTGGCTACAAATAGTAATTATGTGGCTATAAATAGAATATATCCCTTGGGGTTACATTGATTTAACCCATATTCACTTAGCCCAACCCAAATAATAACTATATCGAATCTATGAGCATTACTCATTTAATTATGATGGACATTCTTAGTTGTACAAATTTATTCCAATTTGTTATGGGCAATCACTACTACAAAAACACCCTATGAAATCGCCTCATATGAATCGCATTGACATCACATGTGATGTATAAATTTTATGAATCGCCTTTTATAAATGATATGATGTATAAAATCTTTCGGAAAAAAATGAAACAAACTTACGAATCAATTGATATAAAAAGTGTGATGCATAAGCCACCTAATGCATCCAATACTTTTGGAGCCGACACGTAAACGATTTTAAAATTTCTACGGAGTATGCCGGTCAACCAAAACAGAAAAGGAAAACATCAAGCCGCACCAATTAAATCAAATCAATTGCAGTTAAAAATGAAAAAGTAAACTCACAAGAAACATGGAGTCTATTACACGGCCAGATCTCATGACCTTCCAAACAGTTGGGCGGTGAATTTTCATCGCTCTCAACGCTCGTAGTACCTCCGGCGACAATATACTACGGCGAGCTCTCACAGGAGACAAATATCAATACAGCAATTCCAGCGAGAGCCAAACGGGTAAGGCGAGAAATCAACACAGCGATTCGAGCTCTTCTCTGGCCTCTCTTATTGGCAACAAGGAAAGTCGAGAAATCACCGCTTGTACTTCGCTTCAGTCGGCTCTCCAGTTCAGGTAATTTTCCAGTTCAGACATGAAACCTATTTTGAATTGACTGCTAAAATTCATATGTTGTTGTCTCAAATTCACTTCTAAATCAAAGTCTGAAACTCATATAGAAAACACATACAAGTGAATAGATGTGTCGTTTTTTACTTGTGCAAGTAAATTCTATTCACTGCCTTGTTTATGTCTAATGTTAGGATATCATGCTCGTAAAACTTGCTCATGGGAATGTCTAAACATTACTTCTATGTATTGTGATGAGACTATTATTTTCAAATAATTACTTTATCTGTTAGTACAAGTAAGGTCAAACATCCATATTGAGAAAATATAAACACAATATAAAGTGAGCCTGATCATCTGTAAAGGCTCAGTTATGCAAACAACATAGAATTAAAATATAAAAGGATTTGCAGTTTTAACAAATCATAATATACTACGATATCTGTTAATGGAAACATCAATTCAATTCAAATTGAAAGCTTCAACTGCCTAAGGAATAGGACCTGGCAATATGTTAGCCTTCAGATCAACTATGGTAAAGTCCAGCTAAATTTCGTTAGAAATGTAATGTTTCAGGGATATATTTTTATACTATTAACCTCCGTTACTGACTTTCAAGTGTGTATATATGATCAGATTACTCTAATCTGTTGACTTAATGCTCGTTTGGTAGATTTTTATTTTATACTATTCTTTATCGAGATACACATCTTATTAATAAATTACATACACATATAGAATAAAGTGAAATATACAAAATATAGTTTTATTCATTGATCCACATCCACTTGCTTTAGTAATAAAATAACTTCATACAATAATTGATAACTAGCATTCCAAATATATTAGTTAAAATGCATAGTTAAAAACTAACTTATACAAACATAAGATAATAGTTTTTCTGGAAGTAAATGGATACAAATAATTTAATACTCTAAAGACAGATAACTTTGTATGAACTTTTGGGATATATTAGTTTGAATTGGTAGTAGTTTTATGCGATTGATGATCCTTCTCAAGTTCAAGTTAATACTTTTTTTTATGTTTTTGATATTACATAGTTCAGCATAATTTGATTTCCTTAACTCTTTGTCTGCTATTATCTTTATGTTTCTTTAATTGGTTTAAATTTATTGATATCCTAAACCTATGTTGATTAGATATGGACAAGCATTGGATTTCATGTACACGCACTACATCTGAATTCCAACAAGGGGTTGAGGACTTTATTCAATTTGCATTCACACATAGAAAAGAAGGGGAAAAGTTGCCTTGTCCTTGTAGGAAATGTGGTAATATGTGTAAGGTATCTAGGAAAGATGAATTGCGTGAGCATATTTTCTGTAATGGGTTTTCAAGGAATTATACTGAATGGATATTTCATGGCGAAAGGGAAATGGGTAGTACCATTAACCACCATGAATGTCATGCAGATCACTTAAATCAAGATCAAAGTGATGAAAATGATCAATTAGATGAGATGTTGCACGATATGGAGGATAATTTCACATACATGCCACACGTCTTCGATAGTATACAAAGAGATGCTGAGAAACCTTTATATGAAGGTTGCTCAAAGTATACTCGATTATCGGCAGTATTGAAATTATTCAACCTTAAAGCGGCAAATGGGTTGAGTGATAAGGGCTTTACAGAATTATTGAAGCTATTGAAAGACATGCTTCCCATGGGTAACGAGCTTCCGGATTCCACCTACCAAGCTAAGAAGATTTTGTGCCCAATGGGATTAGAAGTTGAGAAGATACATGTTTGCCCTAATGATTGTGTGTTGTATCGGAAGGAGTATAAGAATTTAAAACAATGTCCAAGATGTGGAACATCACGGTATAAGGTGAAAACCAGTGTTCACGACACAAAAAATGGCCCTCCTGCTAAGGTGTTGTGGTACTTGCCTATAGTGCCAAGGTTTAAACGCTTGTTTGCCAACGCTAAAGATGCAAAGAGCTTAACATGGCATGCAGATCAGCGCAAAGAGGACGGGATGCTACGACATCCAGCAGATTCCCCACAATGGAAAAACATTGATAATGTTTTTCCAGATTTTGGATGTGAGTCAAGAAATTTAAGGTTGGGTCTCTGTACAGATGGAATCAACCCATTCGGTAAGATGAATAGCCAACATAGCACATGGCCAGTTTTGTTGGTTATTTACAACTTAGCACCTTGGTTGTGCATGAAACGCAAATATATGATAATGTCTTTATTAATATCGGGACCTAAGCAACCGGGGAATGACATAGATGTCTACTTAGCACCACTGATTGAGGATTTGAAGATGTTATGGGATGAAGGAGTGCCCGTGTTTGATGCATACCGTCACGAGTCTTTCACGTTGCACGCCATGGTATATTGCACGATAAATGACTTTCCCGCTTATGGGAACTTGTCTGGTCACACAACTAAGGGATATAAAGCTTGCCCTATCTGTGAAGATGATGTCAAAGCTATGCCTTTAGCAAAAAGCAAGAAGATAGTGTATTTAAGTCATCGAAGATTTTTGCCTCGTTTCCACCCTTATCGAAGGCTTCGAAAGGCTTTTGACGGAGAGCAAGAACATGGACTTGCTCCCCGACCTCTAACGGGGAAGCATGTTTTTGAACGGGTTAAAGGAATACATTGTATATTTGGAAAACCCTACAAGCCATTGAATGAACATTGTTGTTATAAAAAGATGTCTGTGTTTTGGAACCTTCCATATTGGGAGCATTTGTCAGTGAGACATTGTATTGATGTTATGCATGTTGAGAAAAACGTTTTTGATAGTCTCATTGGGACACTTCTTAACATGCCCTTTCATTTTGCACCGAGTATTTGGCAGAGACACAAAGAATCGGGCTTCCTAAACCGCGTCATGATGAGGAGAGAATTCAAGGTAAGGGTACAGTTGGTCGTAAGATACACACAGTTAGCCGTGAAATCCTTGATCAGGCTTACTTATACATATTACAACAGAGTGTTGTAGTGAGTCCTTACATGAAAATACACATGGACATTCTGCGGCTTGAAAATCCAGGAATAAGTGAAAAAAGGCTCAGAGATAAGCACAATCGATTATTTATAAACTGGTTCAAAGAAACATTGAATCTTGAGATGGCTCAAACGCCGAATGATGTCAATGAAGTCCTTAGGTGGTTAGCATTTGGTCCATCACTCAATGTCATATCGTATGAGGGTTACGATATAAATGGGTATTGTTTCTACACTAGACGAAAGGATGATTCTAGCACCATGCAAAATAGTGGTGTGAGTTTAGTAGCATCCGCACTACATTTTTCGAGTGCCAAAGATAACAAACCAGAATATGCAAGAAGGGCATACTATGGCATTATTGAAGACATATTTGAACTTGATTTTACTGGATTTAGAGTCCCTGTGTTTCGATGTAAGTGGGCAGATATGAGGAGAGGTGTCAAAAGTGATGCGTTCGGGTACACATTAGTAAATTTTGATAAACTTGCTCATCGTGATGAGCCATTCATAATGGCATCACAACCAAAACAAGTCTTTTACATAACAGATCCATGTGAAAGAGGGTGGAGTGTAGTTATTCAAGGTAAAAGACATGGCGTTGCAGTTGTGGATATTGTGCCAAATGAAGAAGAGTATGATGAGATTGAAGAGATTCCTATACTTTCTGTTCATCAAAATATACCACTTATTGAAGATGACTTGGGTGGACATTATTTGCGCAATGATCATGATGAAGGTGTATGGGTTAGTAGTAAGTCACCGAAGACCTAAAATGGTATGTCAGAATTTTAAAATGGTAGTAAGTTCCTTTATTTATTCTGAAAATCTTGTTTTAATGTTCTTTTTCTTTGCCAGAACCTCATCTATGATATCCCTTTTTATGTTTAATGACTATAGTCTACTTCAGTCTCAAATTAATAAATTTTAGTTTAACCTCAGTAGTGTATAACTCCAGTAATGCATGACATGCAGGGGGGAAAGACTAGCAGCATCAACTCAACTTATAAGGATTGTAAGCTCATATGCTGTATATTTTTTTTCAATTAGATGTTTCATTTTACTTTCGTTTTTGTTGCTTTGATAAAGTTTAATTTGTTGGTTGAAAGCATAGGTATACAAACTTTAATCTACCGAGCATCAGAAGTCACACAAGGTGGACTATGCCCTACTTTATTCAACTATTTATAACAAATTTTTTCAGCTATTTATCAAAATTATTTTAATCAACATGAACTCATTTCCAGATTTTGTTTTGCAATGGCTTCTGAGGTTGAACATGAGAAGAAAAAACAAAGTGGGAAGACTAGAGGGCCAACAACGGCCAAGTATATAATGAAAGAGGATAATGGACCATGTCCTCTTCAATGGGATGAATATGATCGCCCAATTGGAGAGCATGAGGATAGGTACAAGACCTATGTTGGATCAATTTCACGTGGATATTTTAAAATCTACATTGATAAGTGGCCCAAGGTTGATATGGAAACAAAGGAAATGGTGTGGAGTGCTATACAAGTATGTAACTGATCATGTTTTAGTTTTCTAAAGAATATTAACCTTTTGTAAAACTCTAACATAATTTTTTTAATTGTAGAAATTGTTCATGTGTGACGACAACAAAAAAAGTGTGGTGTTGAGAGATTGCAGAAATAGGTGGAAAGGTTTCAAGACAAGATTAACTCGTGATTACTTCTTAAAACGAAAGAAGAATGAAGTAGATCATCCTCCATGGAATATATACTCAGGAATCACTGAAGATGATTGGAAAAAATTTAAACAGATTCGTGAAAGTGATGAGTTCAAGGTAATTCTATTTTATAAAATTGGCTCCCCACATCCTGGAGAATCATCACTCCTGTCATATTGTTATTGTGATTATATTTGTGATTATATTGTTATGAATATGATATATGATGTGATGATGTGGGGAATCATCACTACTTCATCTCCTGCATGATATAATTTTAATGTTCTTTGCTACATATAACAATAGCTTTGTTTTATTTTCATTTTTTGGTAACCTTTACATTACTTTTGAATCTTTCTTTGCTAACTGTACATCTTGTTCTTCATACATTTCTTCATACATGTCAATTGATCCTGGTAGTCAATATTGATTGGTACTCTTTTGTTATGACTCTTTTGAAATGAGGTTATGTGCTCTGCATTAACATGATGAATGCTTGTGTTTAATTTCTGATAGTTGACCAGGAGCATTATTCCATCTCTAACTTACCTCTATACTCATGCTCATTTTTTAAAATATGAAATAATGTCCCTCCTTAATTTCCTAATAACTTCATATACCTCTTACTATTTTGTGTAGGAATTAAGCGAACAAAATTGAACAAACCAACAAGAGAATGAGCACCCTCATCGCATGGGTCGGGGAGGATATGGTCACGCAGACCAAGAATACATGCGTGCCAAAATAAAGGAAGCTCTTTTGTCAGCACCCTCTTCTTTAGGTGCTGAATCAGCGTCATCTACTTCCATAGTGGCTACTAGACCTCGTTATATAAAGTGGATTGATGGAAGAACGGACAAGAAGGGACTTATCCCGAATCCTAAGACTCGGTTGGTGGTAAACACAATAGTAAGTATAACAGTTCATTTCAACTCATCACCGTTATCATGGGTTTAAACTTTTTCATTTAGATGAGGCTACATGAACTTATAATGTTTATTGTTGATTTATTTTGTTAATTTATAATGTTTGATTTTTAATTTCAAATAGCATGATTTGGTGGAAAAAGAAAAGGCTGGAGAGTTTATTCCAGTAGGAAGCCATGACATTTTGACTGAGGCGCTTGGGAATTCTGAACATGGTGGCCGTGTTAGGGGAATTGGAGGGAAGGCCAATCTCACATCTTTTTTTAAAAGAAAGAAGCGTCGACAAAATGAGATAATGGTACCTTTAAAACAACTGCAAGAATATGCCAAGCTAGTGAGGGACCAAACTATAGCTGAATTGGAAGTAAAGTGGGAGCAAAGAACATATGAGATTCTGAAATCTTGTGGTATAACTCCACCGTGTGATGTTGAGTTGAAGACAAGAGACTTTACCCCTCCTATTCCAAATAGTAGTAGTGTTCACTCTTTTGATCCCGATCCATTTGTAAACACATCAAAGGTATGACAAATTTGTCATTATTTTCTTAAATTACTCATTAATCATGAATAACTAAAATATCTTATCTATATGTATAGGATGAACTTCCCTGTGAGCTAACAGTACCTGGTAATCGGGTGGTGGCAAAAGGAGTACTATGTAAACATCTAATGGGGGAGCTTGTTCATGGGACTCCATTACTCAAAGACCATTTCAAAGTAAAGATTTTGCATGTACTTGCTGGAGAGGAGGATACACCCTTACCAATGCCATTCTTCGGGCATGATTTACTTGGTGATGTAGAAGGAAGTTGGGCTCAATGGCCAAAAAAACAAGTTCTACTATCACAAGAGGTAAAATCCTAATACATTTCTGAATAATGCATCTCTTATTTAATGACAATAATAATACATCTCTGGATAATGACAAAGATATCAAAGCCAGTGTTGTCATTTATTTTTCTTATACAATGCAATAGGAAAAATTAATGCAAATAAGCAATCCAAATATGAAGGAATTATCTACAATGGATATAGATATGATATGCCAATAAAATGGAAGAGAAAAGCTAACATTTTTTGAAATCAAACATCTGTGAAATGAAAAGAAAAGTTCAATCCTGAAAACTCAATTCTGAATAGCAGGTTAACCACCCACAGCGGAAAAAGAGAATGCAAGCAGATAAAAGCTCAGCTGATAGTAGGTTAAAATTTCAACCCCTGTCCCAAGAGGAACAAGATCTGGACAGTTCACACTTCAAAATCCATCCTTCCATTGTTGGGACATTACCTCCAAGCTGCAAGAAACTCTATGGCATGCTTCAATCTCAAAAGAAGGACTTCTGTTTTAATGTTGATCTTGGTGAATATCTTTTTCCCTCTTTTGGAAATCAAAAATCGAAAGCTTATGTAACCAGTGATGACATTGAGCAGTTTTTTAACATGGGATGGCTACACACATCAATTGTTCACATTTGGATAAGGTAAAATAGAATATCTAAATTTTCTTAATTGAAATTTGTGTTTTTTTGTACTAATTTATATGCAATTGTCTTAGGTTTTTGGACTCTAATTCCAAGCATTATCAAATTGAAGACGAGATTGGATTTCTATGTCCTTCAAAGCTTGCCATGATTAAGAGTAGACCTTCTTATCTTGCGAGTTACTTGAATCATTCTATTTCCCAACTCAGAATGAAGAAATTCTTATTTGCTCCCTTGCATCAAAGGCAAGTTTACTCATTAATTGAAATAGTTATTAGTGATACATTATCTATTGGAGCTATTAGTGAGATGCACCTATTGTTTTAACCTATATTTTCTAATTCTAATAATTAAAATTTTTATTGCAGCCATCATTGGATGCTTGTTGTGATTATTATGGAACGAGCTGAGGCTTTACTCTTCAATTCATTAGGAGTTGGGTTAATGGGGCCCGGGTTTGAAGATTTGGAAATCAAAGGACATTTGTCTCTGTAAGTTTATTTTTGTATAATCTGCCATAAGTCTACAATTGATTATATTCTCATAACTTGCAATTCTGAAGCTTCTGGTTTGGCATTTATTTTTATATAATCTGCCATAATTGTCATTAGGGGAATAATTTTATAGGTCACCTGAAAAAGAGTCAAAACCATACTGTGCTTGGAATATTTTTAATGAGATTATGTTCTCATAATTTGCAATTCTGAAGCTCCTTATTTGGCCATTTAGGGCTTATAGGACTCTAAATTTCAACAAAGGATCTAGAAGCTCACTAAGTTGGACTGAAGTTAAAGTAAGTCTTATGTTTTTTCAATTTATAAAATTGTCTTTATTTGTACTAATTGGATTTTTGCTATTATTTAGTGTCCTCAACAATCACGTAAAGATGAGTGTGGCTATTACGTCATGAGATTTATGTATGATATATTACTTGGATTGCTAGAAAATAGAACTATACAAGAGGTATTTATCTATACCACATGATTTATATATTTATATTATGTACTATTCAAAAAATTGATAGTAACTTCATAATTTGAATTTGGCAGCTCTTTTCTCCAGATCCATACACTCAAGAGCAGATCAATGAGATTCGGGATACTTGGGCTAAATATTTTATTAATAATTGTGTGTAGTTCGATTGGATTATACTTTTTAGATATACAATCTACATTTGTATGGAGTGTGGAACAGTTCAGCTCGTTTTATGTGTCTTGTGTTTCAAAATGTTATGCTTTCAGATTATCCATTGACATTTTGAGATTGTATGTTTTATGTTTAGAATAAAATGACATTTAAATCAGTCTATTTCATAGCTATTGTTGGTCATTCATGGTTTCAAACATAATCTAAAGGAATAATTGAATTTTGAGATTGTTATGTGTATGCCTATATTTCAAAAATACACAACTTTATGAATTGCCTCATTAAACTAGCGATGCTTATGCCCATTTTTCAATTAAAAAAAACAAACTTTACAAATCGCATCACTCGAATAAGCGATGTATAAAGTTTAACTATTGCATCGCCAAAAAAGCGATGCAATAGGTACCTATACTTTATGCATCGGCACTTTATGCATCGCACCAAAGGTGATGCATTAGGGGTGTTTTTGTGCGACTCCAAAACTTATTTTTGTAGTAGTGAATTATAACCTTATGATTGTTAATGATCAATTATGGTAACCATGATTACTTTTGCTCCTTTAATGTTTCATTTTTAAAAATAAAAACTTTTAAAACGAGCGTCTAAATATTTCTTTCTAGTTTATATGTTATTTTATTATGTAAATTATTTACGAAACTGAATGTTACTAAATAACCATTCCGAATCGTATCAAAAACTGGAATGGGACATGATATTTGAGACGGTACCTGTATCTTAATTTTTTTTTAAATCTTAATTTGAGACGGGGTAGGTTCTTTAAGGTAACTGCTCTGTACTATCGCATGCTCACCCCTTCTTGTCACTTGGTAACATTAAAATAGTGTCATATTGGAATCATATTGTCATATTTTGGCACTACGAAACATTATTAAAGAATAAGAGAGGAGAAGGTTTTTAATATATTCTTGCACACTTTCACAAGTGTACAAGTGCTGCTATTTATACAATTATTAAGCATCACAATAAATTAAGTAATGACAATATCTTAAATGACAAAGATATTAACACTTGTAAGAGCCAAACCCATACTAACATACTTGCAAGGCATTCCAGTATGACCCAACAAGCAACATGTTACAACTTCGTCCGGCCAGTAGCATTACTGCGGAATCCAGAGTGGCATTCATCAAGTTCGGCCTCGTTGAGGCAGCTCGTCCTAGAATGGAATGGGACCGCTAGCCGAGAGCTGGGCTTAAGGTGTGGCCTTGGCCTTGGCGTTGGGCATCGTCCCTCCGTACAAAGGACTTGGGATACTATCTTGTCTAGACACTTGAACTATATGAAAATATATCCCATCACTACTACTTCGTATTTTGGAAGTCACTTTGTTATTATTGCTATATATTTAAAGTAATTCCGCAATTAGAAATGTCCTCGCATCAAATGTTCGCATCAAGTATTTGTGCAAAGTACACATCCGGAGCGCAAATGATGTATTCATGCACATTAGTTGTTTTGTAAGTAATTTTATTTATTTTCATTTTTTTTTTTGACACAGATGATTCGTCTCTCATTAACTCCACTTGATATATACAATGTGAGTGAGTAGGATAATCAAATAAAATATATAAAAGGTCACAGAAATGTATAATAAATTAAAATAGAAATGTTGTTTCAGATTTATTTAAGAGAATTGTTATACATATAAATGTTCTTATATATTCATGTTATTACTGTTATGTTGCTCAATTTACATGTTTTTATCGTTATTTAAAACACCATTTGCAACAACACATAAAATTCGTTGCAATATACGCGTTGCAACCAAAATTGCATTACAATATTTTGCAACGGAAATCCATTGCAATACTTGCTATGGAAAATGCAACACAATAGCATTGTTGCAAACAAAATGCAATGGAAAAACATGTAGTTGCTGCTTCCATTGCATTGCAACAGATTATTGCAGAAATTGCAAGGGCGTAAATAGCAACTTATGATGGATTTTTTTTGCCCGTTGCATTTTTTGTTGCAAAACACGAATTGCGGTGAAACTTTCCGTTGCGAACCGGATTTTTTATTGTAGTGATATAATCATAAATGAGTTAAGCATGTTAACATGAATGATTTTGGTTATAATATGGTGGTTTCAAGGGAGTGAGTATTCGGGTTTGCGGAAAACTCTTTCAACAAGAACAACATTGAATAATTATGAAATTAATAAATTACTTAAATATCCATATTTTTACCATGAAATTTATACAACAGGTTTCATATGTAAACCTCTAAATTTTGGACGTGAACCTCTAATTCCCCATGAAATTAATAAAACAAGTTTTATATGTGAAACATAAGTCGTTGATGATTTTTAAGATAATACTACATCTACTATAAATATTTTTGTAAAATGCTTACTTTCACGCTTCACATGTAAGCATGTTCTTGTTAATTCAAGTTATCATTATGCTTATATTGATCTCATTTTCGATGAGAACAAAGAGAAAATTAGGGTGTTCATCAATTCGAATTTGTTACGGTTATTTTTTAAAAAGGTTAAATTGCGAATTGAATTGTACTACTAGAGTCACTTTCGGTCAATTTCATATGGTTTGTATAGATTTCAGTCAAGTTGAGCATGTTTTGATCAACTTTTGTCAAGTCACTCGATTTTCAAATCCAAAGTCATAAACGTATAACCAAGAGTTGGGTCAGTTATCCAAAGTCATAAACGTATATCCAAGAGTTGGGTCAGTTTTGGTTAATTTCTGTTTTATTTGGTTTAATTTTGACTAGTTGGATTTGATCAATTTGTCAATCTGTTTCAGTTTACCCATATATTTGTCAGTTTATCGATTTTGATAAAAGATTGTACAGTTAGATACATATTTTTGTATTTTAAAAGTTAGGTTAGATTTTATGAAAGCTCCATTAAAAGATATGGCAAATGGTATTTTTTAGTAGTGTAGGGTTGTGTGTGCAGGGAAGGTCAACTATGTTTTCCTGTGAATTTATATGTTCGTCATGCTTAGGCAAAATCATCATCTAGATGTTGGGCATCCTTGGAAAACTCTTCGTCACTATATGAGTAAATGCTCTGTTCGCTACACTATCATTTCTTGGTCACAGCATTAATTGGAATCACTATTAATAACATTTGGTGAAATCTTTATTTTTTAGTTGTTAACTATGGTCATCGGACCAGGGGAAGGGTTTTTCGGAGTCAAGGAGGAGAACAAATAGATTTCAAAGGGGGCCAGATGAAAGACACGGACAGCTTCTGAGCACAAATTTGAAATCCGATGGATCTGGGAGAAGGAGCAGGTTGTTGACAAAGGGAAGGGGCTGGTTGATTCAATCTAAAACAAAAAACGGGGAGAGGGCGAGCTGCAACTGTGTGGCTCGCCAGTCATGCCACTAAATCTGTTTCGATTCCAGCAGGAGAGGAGAGGAGGAGCAGAAGAGTTCGAGTCAGGATATTTTTACTTATTTTATTTAATTTATTTCCCGTACTGTTATTTCTTCATTGTTGCGGACATTAGGGGTAGGTGGTACTCTAGCGGTAGGTTGAGGTTTGCTTTTTCATACTTGGTTTGGGATGATATTATTGGTGGAAGCGATAAGGCTAGTTTGACCGTTAAAAGCTTCGAAACTCTCACATGGTTCGCGAATAGTCTCGCTCCTTCCGGGGTGGTCTATTCTAAGTCTAGCCAGAGAGTGAGGGGGCCTTTGGGCTATGCGGAGCCTCATGATGAGGTTTGGCGTTACACGTGGGGTAGTAATTTTAGTTGCTTGATTGAGGAAGTTTGGGTTGATTGTAAGGGGGGAAGTATGTTGAGTGGTTTGATTGATATAATATAATCAGTTTCCTTTCATAAAAAAAACTATGGTCATCGGACAAGTACCTTGTGGTTCGATGACATCACTGTGACACTCCCAAGGAAGAGGTCACAGGTTCGAAACTCATCCCAGTCAAGGATGTTGGCATTTAATAATGAAGTATTGAACCGAATCTATAAAGAGAGACTACAAAGTCTAGCCACAAAAAAAAAAGTCTAGCCACAAAAAAAAAACTATGGCCATCGCTTTACAACATAGCAAATTTGTTGGTCATTGCGTTAGTGTTAGGGTTTTTGTAGATTCTTAGTTACTTCGTATTACTTACTAGGGCATAATTTTGAATGCTGAAATCATGTATTGTTTTTTCTGATGCAATGTGGATTGTGAGGTTGCCATGTGTGATTAAATACAAATTAAGATGGACTAATTTTCTAGATTACTAGTGATAGAGGGATCAAATTCTTTCATTTTTTGGATCAAACCTAGTTAACTATGAATTTATAGCAATCCACATAATGTATTTGATGAGCGTTTGTGCATTTGTTAATATAGTTAGCTGTTAATTTCTTCCCCATTCAAAAATCAAATGACTTGTGTCAGTTAAACTTTACACCCCGCTTGTTTAGTAACTCAATGTTATCAGTCTGTATACCAGGTATAGTGGTAAAATTTCAGGCTTTTCTTGGGTATATACTATGTATTTTGTTAGTACATGTCTTGATACAACAATATCTAAATCTTAGTCTCAAAAGAGTTTGGAATCGACATATGAAATTCGAGTTAAAATTGCATGTCCTGATAATTGGAACATATCACTAATTGTGTGTCTTGATAATAGGAAGATATCACTGTACCAGAAGAAGCAGTGACTTCACTAAGGGGTGCAACACCCCGTTTTGGTCCTGAACAAAACCGGGCCAGGATTGGCAGGCAAATTACCCGGAACCGAATATCTAAATTTGGAGGGTTTGGGAAAGGGACCTGGCCATACTTATTCCAGCTGCAGTTTCAATTCCATACTATTGTTTTCAAACAGGGTACAAACCAGTCTCGATCTGGACCGCAGCCAGGGCAGACCCACAATTCCCTATTGTAGTTTACACATGACCATTGAAGAGGTTCAGGAACCAGCCCACGTCCATTGCAGAGGATCAGGGAACCAGCCCAAGTCTGCCCCTAATTTCACAGCCCAATTGCCCATCATGACAGACAACAGCCTTAACCACAGGTCACCAAATTAATGTTGCATGGAATGGATTCAACTTAATTATACTCCATACATGATAAGTTGCAGTTAAAGTTAGAGACCTCAAATCCAGTGGTACATCACATAGGCTGTGTTTGGTAATCAAGCTTTAC